ATGCTCTTGAAGTCACAGAAGATGCCATTGTATGGAAAAGCACGGAATTTAAAAGACATTAAGAAGAGATGGATTCTGAATGTGCAGAAGTGTTAGAAGTGCCCTAACTCATTTATTTCCCTTATATTTTCTTTTCTTATAAATACACAAGAGTAATAAATTATAAAACCCACGTCTAACGTCTAAAATGGCTCTTTAAATAGGTAGGGAAAACTGCTTAGTGTCTGGAAAGCATTTGTCTTACTTTAATTGCCACAGTGGCTTTCTTAGTGTCAATAAAATAATGGTGTTTCTTACCTTTGATATCATCTTAGATTACTTGAAGTGCAATAGTCATTGTATCAGTCAGCGTTCAGGATTGAAAAGAAATCTCTCTAGGTATTTTAAACAAGAAGGAATCAGGGAAGTAGGTGCTTACAAATCACTGAATGAACTGAAGGAGTGAAAGTCAGAGTCACCTCACTGTCTTTATCATACCTGCTTTTCACATTGACAAAGATAAATGCAGAGCTAAAAGTATCAGGAAGGTGGCCCCTACCTTGTTTCTGCCTTCTAAATCTTTCATGAGTTCATCTTTTTGGTAGAACCTAATTTGTAACCAGAACCTGGGAAATGTACTTAGGTGTTTATTTGGTTTGCTTTCCAGATTCTCTTATATGGAAAGGTAACTAGAAGGGAATAGAAATGTATGTTCAGTGCCAATAGATCATATCTAAGAGGGTCCCTAACTATAAAAACCTAACAGATAGAAGTGTATAATTTAATTAGTAACTAGTGAAATTACTAGTGACAAATTAAAGCCATAATAAAATACTACCATATACCCACCATATTGGCTCAAATTAAAAACTGTTCTTACAACACCAAGTCCTGGCAAGGTTAAGCAATGAGCATACTGATTCTCTGCTGATCAGAGTGTAAGTTAGTACATTTTGAAGATTAGTTTGGCATTATCTGATAAGATTGAACATAGACATACCTTTGGACTTGGCAGTTCTATATCTTAGTATATAACCTACAAAAATTCACATCTGTATGTACCAGGATAAATGTACCATAATGTTCATGGCAGCAGTGTTCATAATAGCACCAAATTGGAAACTACAAAATGTTCACAGCAGTAGAATGGCTCAATATTTGGTATATTAGACAGTGGAATATTATATAAACACACACAAAAACAAATGAGCTACAGGTAAACACAATAATACAGGTGAATGTTAAATATATAATATTGGTCCAAAGATCATAAAAATTTACATACAATATTTATTTTATAGAGTCCCCAAACAGATGAAACTAACCTGTATTGTTTACGAATGGATACTTAGTGGTAAAACATTTTTTTTAAAAAAAACAAGGAAGTGATTACCATAATGGTCAGGAATGTGGTTACCTCTAGTGGAGAAGAATGTTGCCAGACCCCAGATGCTCTCCATCTCTCCCTTCTTGATCACAACAAAGAGAAGGCAGTTGTGATCAGGAAGGGGGAGATAGAGAGCATCTGGGGTCTGGCAACATTCTATTTCTCGGTCTGTAGCTGTAATTACAGTAATTAATACAACAATACATTTATTTTTTGTGCACTTGTATGTATGTGCGTTATACTTCAAATTTTTTAAAGTTTAAAAAGAAACTAAATGGATGAATTAAAAGAAACCCAAGCATAAGTAAAGAAAGAATTATAGAGCCAGAGGAGAGATATGAAGAAATTGTCTAGAGGGCAATACAAGAAGATAATGAGCTAGAAAATATTAGAGACTAAAAGATGTGCTGGAAAATGAGAAGATCCAACATACATTACTGGTTCACAAGGAGAGGATAAAGAGAATTGGAGGAGGCAATATTCAAAGAGATTATGGCTGAGAATTTACCAGAATTAATAGAGGGTATGAATCCTCAGATTCAGATTACACAAGTCTTCAGCAGGATCAATTAAACTAAATCCATATCCACACATGTTGCCATGAACTGAACAATTCCAAGTTCAATGAGGAAAGCTCAAAAGCAAACAGAGAAAATCACATTACCTTCAAAGTAACAACAGCGATATTCACAGCAAACTTTCCAAAAGTAACAATAGAGAATAGATGACAGTAATGTATTCAAAGTTCTGAGTTTAAAAAATGTCAAGATATTTTTATGCGGCTGTACTATCATTCAAGGGTAGGGATGAAATAAATTAATTTCCAGACAAAAACAGGTTTCTTAGCACAAATATATTTCCCACTAAAGACACTCTCTTCAGAGAATTTCCTGAAAAAAATGTCTATCCAGAAGGAAGAACTAAAAATAAGATTTAGGAGAATAGTTACGGTGAATAAAGAAACTTTGGAAAACATGTGGGTATATCTAAACAAGCACTGACTATGCAAACAATAAAAGAGACTAATTTGAGGGGCGCCTGGGTGGCTCAGCTAAGCGTCCAATTCTTGATTTTCGGCTCAGGTCATGATCTTAGGGTTGTGAGATCGAGCCTCACGTTGGGCTCCATGCTGGGTGTGGAGCCTGCTTAAGATTCTCTCTCTCCCTCTGCCCCTCCCTGCCTCTCTCTCTCCCTCTGTCTAAAAACAAAACAAGACAAAACAATGACTAATTTGGGGATATAAACATAAGGTAATACAATACCAGATAATAGCAATGAATGAAATGAGAGAGATATGATCAGAGTTAAATTTTTCCAAGGCTCTTACGTTATTCGGGAAGATAGTAGGGATATTGACTAAGCCAATAAGATTATTATTTTTTTTAAAGATTTTATTTATTTGACAGAGAAAGAGCACAAGAAGGGGGAGTGGCAGGCAGAGGGAGAGGGAGAAGCAGGTTCCCTGCTGAGCAAGCAGCCTGATGGGGGACTTCAACCCAGGACCGTGGGATCATGATCTGAGAAGGCAGACATTTAGCCGACTGAGCCACCTAGGTGCCCTGCCAGTAAGATTATTTTTTAAAAATTAGAGTAATCATGAAAAGAATAGAAATAGAATATACAACTTTCAAAATCAGTAAAGGATAAAAGGAATTTAAAACTTTCAGCAATTTAATAGAAAGCAGGAAGAGAGACATATGGAAGATATATAGGTACAAAATAAGATAGTACATAAAAAAGAAAATTATCAGTAAACTCAATAATCGTAAGTGGACTCAAGTCATCAGTTAAAAGACTGGATTGTCATACTGGATTTAAAAATTTAGTTATGTGCTTGGGGCACCTGGGTGGCTCAGTCATTAAGCGTCTGCCTTCGGCTCAGGTCATGATCCCAGGGTCCTGGGATCGAGTCCCGCATTGGGGTCCCTGCTCAGAGGGAAGCCTCCTTCCCCCTCTCCCGCTCCCTCTGCTTGTGTTCCTTCTCTCGCTGTGTCTCTCTCTGTCAAATAAATAAAATCTTTTTAAAAAAGGTGAATTTTATGTTTATATATATTGTACTACAATATAAAAATAAACTTTAAGATAAAAAAGTAGTCACTACATAATCATAAAAGTAACAGTTCACCAGGAAGATATAGCAATTGCTTACTTTTTTCTTTAAAGATTTTATTCATTTATTTGACAGAGAGAGAGAGAGAGCACAAGCAGGGGGAGCGGCAGGCAGAGGCAGAGGGAGAAGCAGGCTCCCTGCTGAGCAAGGAGCCCAACGGGGGACTCGATCCCAGGACCCCGGGATCATGACCTGAGCCGAAGGCAGACACTTAACCGACTGAGCCACCCAGGCGTCCTGAAATTGCTTACTTTTATATAATCACTCCAAATGCATAAAACAAAGCTATAAGAAGAAATTGATGAATTATTATAAGTTGGAAATTAAAAAATCATAACCCTCAAATAAATAAGTTGGTAAACAAAAATTAGTAAAGACAGGAGATTTGAATAACACAATTAACAAGGATGCACTGATGGATATATAGAACCCTTTATGCAGCAATTAGGGAATACACATTTGTCTTAAGAAGGTACAGAACGTTTCGGACGCCTGGCTAGCTCAGTCAGGTAAATGTCCAACTCAGGTCATGATCTCGGGGTCATGAAATCGAGCCCCAAGTTAGTCTCCGCACTGGCCATGGAGCCTACTTGATATGCTCTCTCTCTCCATCTCCCTCTGCCCCACCCCCTAAGCTTCCCTCTCTTTAAAAAAAAAAGAGTGTACAGCACATTTCAAAATTGGCCATACACTGTCCCACAAAACAAATCTCAACAACTAAAAAGAATCAGTGTTACACAGACCACATTTCTCTGAACATAAGCAATTAATTTAGATAGCAATAACAAAAAGATAAAATCCCATATGGCTAGTAATTTAAGAACAAATTTCAATGCATAATAAATAATAGAAATTAGATAATATTTAGAATGAACAACAAAGAAAATACACAAAATATGTGGGACACAGCAAAAGCAGCATCAGAGAGGGGTTTATAGCCTTAATACATTAGAAAAGAAGAAAGGAAAGCTAAGAGCTGAGTTACAAAAAGAAGTCACAGCAAACTCCCCCCCACCAAAGCAGATGGAAAGAAATAATAATTGTAAAAGTAAAAATCAGAAAACAAAGATACAATAGGAAAAATCAACAAAACTACGAACTGGTAAATGCTCAATTACCAAAGGGCACTGACAGGTCTCGATATTCAGGTGGACAAGATGACCCGGATCTGTAAATGTCAGTCAGCCTTTTTATCAAGCCACGCAGGGCTTGCTAAAAGGGCTCATTAATACTGTAGCTGTGAGAACAAGGTTGGGAATTATTCAACAAAACAGATTTTCGCTCACCAAGGCAGATCTGGCTACTATATACCTTCTAAAGATAATCTGCCAACAACACAGACCAATCATGAGCCATATGGTACTGTACCTGAGGGAACCTGCTAAGGCACGTTGATAATAGTGGATCTCTTCCATCATGGAAGATGCGGTGTTTTGTCCTCACTGGGACCGATACTTTTTCCGGATATAGATTTGCCTTCTCTGCCCACAATGCTTCTGTCAGCACCATTATCCATGAACTTACCAAATGCCTTATTCACTAGCATGATATCCCACACTATATTTTTCCCATCCTAAGTTCACAGCAAAAGAAGCGAAGCAGTGGGTTCATGCTCACAGGATTCAATAGTCTTACCATGTACTCCGTCATCCAGAGGTGGGTGACTTTATGGACTGATGGAATGGCCTAATGAAGACTCAGTTACAGAGCCACCTGGGAGACAACACCTTCCGAGGTTAGGGTGCTGTCTTACAAGACTGACTGGGTGAGCCATATCTGGAGATATTTTCCCCATAGCCAAAATACATGGATCTAGGCACCAAGGAGTGTCTGTAAGGCTGACTTCTCTGTTAAGACATACTGACCTCCTTGAACATTTTTCTTACCTCTCATTCCTTTAACTTTGGATTCTGCTGGCTTAGAGGGATAAATTCCCAGGAGAGGTTTGCAGCTTCCTGGTCATTTTGTGTTCTTCATGCCACTGAACTGAGGCAAAGGCGTTCCTGGACCAGCTGAGGTGAAAGAGAGTTGTTGCCTCTCAATGAGAGCAAGGAGGAGTATGCTCAAAACCCAGGGGATTCTCTGAGGTTCCTCACAGTACCTCCATGACTGGGGTGAAGCTAATGGAAGATTAGAGCACCCCAATGCAGGCAGGACCATTACAGGCTAGCTCCTTCAGGAATAAAGATATGGGTCTCTCCACCAGGAACCAGAGCCAGCCAGATGCTGACTGAGGACAAAAAAAAAAGGAATAGATAGTTGACTAAGGAAGTTATAAATAGCAACTACAGCCTTTTCTTAGAAGCTTTGCATATAGAAGCGGTGTTGGCAGCTTTGATGGGAGCAGCCTCTTCCTGGCCTGTTGATCAACCACGGTGGTATGTTCTTCAACTAATGAGTTTAGTGGCACCTTCTGACTGTTCTTTCAGCCCTTCCAACAATTTTGCAAGCATTGAATTCCTTTAATTTGATGTAGTAAATTCCTTTCTGCTTGGAATATCTAGAGCTGTTTCTGTTCTTGCACTAAGCCCTGACTAAATCGCAATGATTAAGATGGTGTGGTGTCTGCATAGGCAGAGTCCAATTGGCAAATTTAAAAGAATAGAGAATCCAGAAACAGACCTGCGCTATTTAAATTTGATATCTGACATTTCAGACCGGAGGAAAAAAGGCAGGACTGCATACTAAATGCTGCTGGGGAAAATGGGCCTCCCTTGGGAGGGGAATTAAATCCTTTTCTCTCACTATACAAAAAAATTTAATTCCAGCTGGATTAAAAGTCTAACGTGGAAAGCAAAAGTGAAACACTTTTCGAGGGAAATACATGAGATTTCAAGGCAAGAAACATTATTATGCTAATGACTTTAAATTAACATATTTAGTTTATCCCTATCCTCTAAACACCACACTCATATGTTGAACTTCCAATTCAAAGTTTCTACTTGGTTGTCTAATCTCAAAATTAACATGTTCGAAACAAAGGACAGTAGTCATTTTCCTCCCAAATCTCCTCCTCTTGAAAAGTTCCCCATTTATTTATTGTTTTAAAAAGATTTTATTTATTTGACAGAGAGAGACACAGCGAGAGAGGGAACACAAGCAGGGGGAGTGGGAGAGGGAGAAGCAGGCCTCCCGTCGAGCAGGGAGCCCAATGTGGGGCTCGATCCCAGGACCCTGGGATCATGACCTGAGCCAAAGGCAGATGCTTAACGACTGAGCGACCCAGGTGCCCCGAAAAGTTCCCCATTTCAAGAACCCAACGACACTGTTGGTGGGAATGCAATCTGGTGCAGCCATTCTGGAAAACAGTATGGACGTTCCTCAAAAAGTTGAAAATAGAGCTACCCTATGACCCAGCAATTGCACTACTGGGTATTTACCCCAAAGATACAAACGTAGTGATCCAAAGGGGCACGTGCAGCCCAATGTTTATAGCAGCAATGTCCGCAATATCTAAACTATGGAAAGAGCCTAGATGTCCATCGACAGATGAATGGATAAAGAAGATGTGGTATATA